AGGCCAGGATGATTCCACAAATGCCAAACAGAGACAAGCGGCCAAGGTCAAGCTACTTGCAGCGCCTGGAAGAGCCGGAACCTATAGTACACATTCTCATTGATGCTGTTTCAACAATGCCATTTTACATGAACGTTTGCTCGATTTTCACGCGCGTGACCATTTCTGCAGGGCCCTTGAGCGTGAGGAAAACCATGCGCGGACCGAGCTTGCTGAACTACCTGTCCATGGAGATTGGTAGCGCAGCTGGAGACGATCTTGTTTGACGGTGACTTGTGGCGCTCTTCGTTTCCTAAGCGAAAGTCGAAGGTAGGTTCATTACGGCGAACTCCAGTTCGGAGAGCGCGGACATCTATGCCAGCAGTCCGGGATCTGCCCCGGCACCTCAAGAAAGACGAAGAGGACTTCTTTGCAAACCTCGATGAGCCAGTGCAAACCCCTTTTGCCCACGCAGCAGCAGCAGAGGTAGTCAACAAATCAACTAGGGCACTAGGTGAAACAAATTTCCCACGCAACAATCATGAAAGCCTATGGTTGTCAGCTCACTCCGAACTAACATCGACAAACCAGTTGCGAAAGATTTGCCTTGAAGCCAACAAAGTGCCTACGATTCCTGAAGGAGATCATGAAGAATTCTCCTTTCACTTTGAGAAGACACTCCGACCTTCACCAACGCTGAGTCGGCATGTACTGTACTGTGACGCAGCCAGGTCAGTCAGGCCAGATGGAAGCTCAACACGGAGGCGGGCTGGTGTTTCTTGCAAGGGGCCCCAGGCGGCCACGCGCGCAGTGGCTCCGTTGTCAGCTGAAAGTTCGCCAGACGAAGAAGTAGAGGATCATTGCTTTTTCACCGCGGCGCCGCTTCTTGTTCTTTTCTCGTTGGTTGGCGTGCTCGGAATCCTGTTGGGTCTTGAAGGATGTCGTTTTCTTGATGGCCCCCAAGGAAGGATCACCTTCAACAAGCGGAATTCGATTGAGAATGTCCACCAAACGTCCGTAGTGTGGGCCATGGCGTGACGGCGAATGACCCAGAGGTTGAAGAGCTTGTGAAACTGCTGAAGACCAGGAGGAAGCCGATGAAGAGGAGATAACGATTGCAGAACACGCGCGGGGGGTCATGGAAGAAACGGGTGGAGACCGCGAAAGCGGTGCATCGCACTTGAGAAGCCAACGCATCATTTCTTGAGTCAGAAGGAGAGAACTTGAAGTTGACTTTGAAAAGAACAGTGTGAACGCGACAAATGAAGAGACCAAGCCATGGCGCAGGCTTTTGAATTCTCATTTAAGTTCGCTGGTCTCCGCCCATGTGAACGCAAAGAAGAAAGATGACAGATTGCAGTTTTTCGCAACTCTGGTGACGGCGGCAAATCTGGCAGCTACGAGTTCGGAGTTTGATCCGCGTGGACGGCAAAGAAGTCACTTCCACAATGATTACGAAGTGACAGACAAGATTCAACAAACCGGCTTGAGCTATGACCACCATGAGAATGTGATGAAACAAGTGACTATGATGCAACATGGCACTTGGACACATGTGAGAGCCTTACGAAAGGTGAGCTGGGTGCATCAAGGGCTGCTGATTCTTTTAGTTTTTGGCGTGTCTCAATGATCTGATGCTGTCCCAACCCTGCACCTTGCATAAATGTTTACTCGAGTTTTATCCGCGTGGCTGCGAGGAAAACAGGTACCGGCGCAGCTTGACGAACTACCTGTTCAAGCAGAGATGGATTAATAAATACGCTAGCCCCCCCCCCTGAGATCCACCCTTGATACTCTTTCCAAGACATACACGACAAACTCACTGCATACGTCGAGTTAGTACGCAGTGAGTTTGAGTGTGCAACTTTTACAGGCAGTTTGTACCAGCATACACAGGTGTAGTGGGAGGCAGATTTGCATCGGACGCAAGGAGACGGTTTTAGAAGGGTAGATTGAAGACTGAAGATCTCGCAAAACTCTTTACCAAAAATCTTCAATCCATGGATCTGGATTGACGATTTTTGGCCAAGAGTTTTGTCAGATCTTCAATCTTCAAATGAGGGGTCTGGATTGAAGATTTCTGGCCAAGAGTTTTGTGAGATCTTCCATCTTCTGTCGCGTCCTCAATCTTGAATCCAGGGATCCAATAGTCTTGTGAAGTCTGGAACTGGGAAGAGTTTTGTCGCGCAACGAATGGGGATTTTAAGTCTGAACACTGAATCTCCAGTCTAAACACGGGTTCATGTGACAAAGGCGACTCATGAAAGTATGTTTCGCTGCTTGCTTTCTTTGCGCACGTCCACGCGGCAATGTCTTCCATGTGCGCTGACCGCAGCAAACTTCTCGAAGTCGCTTCACCTTTCTGCTCTGGCCACCATCGACACCACGGCAGCTCCTGTCAGCGGCAGCGTGACTTTGACGTGGTGAGAACGCACCAACAGCCTCCGCACCAACATCTCCCTTGCAGATCCCGCTTCAGAAAGTACTTGACGGAGAAGCGCCAATCCACGAGTCCAGGGTGCCAGTACTCAAAAAGAAGTTGGCAGCTATGGTTTGCAATGTGAACCCACATCGTGACCAAGCTCTGTTTGTCAACCACTGGGGTTCTTCTTCTACGCCACTGGCTATCCAGGCAGCCCTTCGCCTACTTCTACTGATTCTACTCAATCGCATTCCTCACGCCGCAGTTCATCGTCTTCTACACGTCAACCACAAAACCCCATCGAAGATATGAGCAAGAGATTGGGCCAGTTGCGGGAATCGTGGGCTGTCAAGACTGAGAAAAAGATCCGCTTTGAGAAATGGGCTGATGTAGAAGCGGACAAGGCGACCTTCGACAAAAAGATTGAAAAAGGAAAACTGCACTGGGAGCGATGGTGCGGGATAGTTCAGCAAGGAAAGTCTGAGACACTTGTGCTTCACGGCCTCAAAACTCCAGCCTCAAAACTCCGAGCACCTGGGCCCGGAGCGGTTTGCAAGGTGGAATGGGAACCTCCGGCAGCAAAGTGGCTGCAAGATCGTCAAATCATCCTTCATACGGATTCTGCCAAAAGCTACGCCTCCAATGTCTCCGGTGCCCTCCACGACCGAGTCGTACACAAGAAAAAGAGAGTCAAAAATATACGGGACGACAGGCTGCGCCTATCTCTCTCTCTCTCTCTCTATCTGTCCTGACATTTGTCCCTGTCTTCTCTTTGTTTGCTTCCTCTGTTGGGTTCCAATGACTTCTGGCAACTTTTCCCCTACAAGATCTACACTTGGATTCTTCATTTCCAGCGCGTGTCAATCCAGGGATCGCAATCTTGCATCGCAAGTCTGACAGCTGTTCAGACTTGAAAATCCCAAGTCTGATTTTGTGTAAGTACAAGTCTTTCCAAGAGCATCAAAGGTGGATCTCAGGGAGCGGGTGGATCTCAGCGGGGGGTGCCAGCACTATATATATATGTAGTTATATTAAAACTGAGCAAACAAATAAATAAAACACACGTATGTTTGTATATACATACATGCATGCATACATACATACATCAAGGCATTGCGACCTCCAGCACATTTCCATCACCCTCCCTAAAAGTCCTTCTGCAAGGCGTTCTACCAATTGCACCCTGCACTGCATTCACGGCGTTTCATCCCTCTCGGTTCCTTTGGAAACACAACCAGAACCCAGGCATCAGGGAGGTCTGTGAGAAAAAACTCTGCAGTTGTGTGTTTTGGTGACATTTCTTTGTTTCCGTTCAGTGCGTTGACTGCTTTTGTCCATCAGATGGCTTCCCGGTTCTGTGGCGTTTTGGTTGCAAGGCACAGGTTGAGCATGGGAACAAAAATGAGCAGAGGCACTTTCTATGCCCGACAGTGTTCCGGTGATTGTGTTTCAACATTTATGTTATCACGAAAGCTAGCGAAGCTAGCTGGAGTTACTCTTGCGATAGCAAGGTTTCTTTCGACCGGGTGCAAATCCTAACCCCTGATTTTTCAGGTCGAAGACCCCCCCCCCCCCCCCCCCTCTCCCCTCTCCCCACCTCCCCTCTCCCCACCTCCCCCCCTCTCCTCCTCCTTGTCTTCCTCCCATCTTCCCTCCCTCCCTCCTCCCTCTTCGCAAGTTCGACTCCGTCCTGTCGTCACTCTTTGGCATGCGGTTAGCGTTGCGTATCTTGCGGCCGCACTCGCTCACTCACTCTCACTCTCTCACTGTCTCACTGTCTCTCTCATCTCTCTCATCTCTCTCTCCTCTCTCTCTCTCTCTCTCTCTCTCTCTCCTCTCTGTCTCTCGTCTTTCCGTCTCTCTTCTCTCTCTTCTCTCGCAGGAGGATCCGGGCAAAGAGCCACATATAAAGGACTCTTCACCCCTGCCTCCAAAAAGAGCGCCGTGTTTTTTCCTACCTCGCTGCCCTCCACTTTCCCATTCTGGAGCGCTAGCTTTCGCCCCCCTCTTGGCCTCAAGTTTTTTGATATTGACTTCGCTTTGTTTGGTTTCTCATGTTTGGCACGATTGGTTAATGTTTTTCATTCCCGCTCTTGTGTTTGGATATATATATATATAGGCGAGCTTCCCGCACCCGCACCCAGTGCTTGACGGGTTTGTCTGTTTGTGCGCGCACACTTAGTTTTTGGCTGCAGGTATGTAATGTTCCTGTTTCTGTTGTGTTTGGTTTTGCCAGTGATTTGATTTGACACTGACACGCATCACTTTGTCCATCATTACTAATTACCTGTTTAACTCGTAGATTGCAGGTATGTCTTTTTGTCTCACAGTTCTTCCCTCTCGCATGAGTGGAGCTGATCTATCTCGAGGATGAAACATATGGTTTACGATGTTTTCCAATGTCCTGTTTGGAAATCAATGCCTGTGTACCTAGTGTATGTAACTACTGACATACAGGTAGAGGCTATACGGCTATACGCTGCTGAGTGGCTGAGAATACCCATCCCATGCCATCGGTTCACTGGAACTCTGTTTGTTGAGCTTGGTGTTTTCTCGTTTGCGCATGTAAGATGACATCAAGATGCACTATGTTGCGCAGGAACTGAAGGCCACCGGGGCAATTTATTGCAACGGCGGTTGCTTGCATTGCAGCTTCCGCAAATCTTCCGCACTGGTGGTGGTGGAGGCGAAGACGATCAGATCTGGCAGATGTTTGAGGATGACGATGACGAGATGGAGGATGCTGAAGGATTTGATTCAGCAAGCATAACCAGCTTGGACGAATCAGGGAGCGAGCCATGTGAGAACCCCCACAGCCCCGGTCAGAGTTCTGAGCAGAGCCCTTTGCAATCTCTGCCCGAGAGCTCAGACCACAAAGGCAAGGGGAAGGGAGAACGGTCACGCGAAAATCAGCGAAGAGCAGACGGAGGAAAGGCCCGCGGAAAGGGCGGCAAGGGAAAATCAAAAGGCAGAGTCCGTATGTGGCGTCCTGTCCAAAGTGGGGATCAGAACTGAGAGCTGTGTACAAATGCCAGGCACCAAGTAGGTGTGATTTTCCATCCTCAGCTGATCCCTGTGCTATCCTGGGACTTCTCTCGATACAAGTGCCAAAATATTCAGTAGGTGTGACAAACTTATTCTTCTTGAGCGTTGCTGCTGCCTGAAGATGTACAGTACCAGAGTTTCGGATCCTGCTTTTCTTGAACAACTATCGTTGTAGCGTAAAAGCTGTCAAGTATGTTCCAACAGGTTGAGCTACTAGGAGCAAGGACACCACTAGGGGCTCCTAGCCCTACTACTAGGAGCAAGGATGCTACTAGGGACTCCTGGCATCGCTACTCACGAGACTTGCGGTCGCTGTCTGTCGCGCGCTTCCTACGGCCCTTCTCTGTGTTGGAGGGTGCCGAGGAGTTCGGTAAGTATCTTCTTGTAAGACATGGTGAAAAGGTGCTGCTATACAATGTGCTAGGGTGACTGGCTAGCAAATTAGGAATTCCGCAAAGTGATTGCACATATCTAATTGGGTGCCGGCGGCACTGTGACACCGTCAAGATCCCCTCCTTTATGCCATGTTTCTCGAAGTTTACGTCGGTACAGAAAACGCTGATGAAACGTAAGCTCTGTAGCCGGCGGAACTGCAAAAATCGGTGAGGCATGTCGCATGGGGATCATGCCATCTGGATGAAAAGGTGGTTTGCATTGAAGGTCTTCAACATATCGAGAGATTGTTCGCTGAACAAGGTCCGAATTAGGGAGCTCTGGTCGCAAAGGCATGCCCCCTGTAAAAGATCTTCCCCAGCCAATTTGTGTAAGGCTGATTGAACCAGTCTTGGTAAATTTTGGCAGAAGGGGGGTATCTGAGTAACCTTGAAGATATAGAACGATGGTGCGAAATGCTTCAGCTTGTTCTCGTAACGATCGTTTAATAGTTGGTTGAGCTAGGACCCGCGGGTCTTTCCAATGTAATGGTTGTGAACGTGTGTGGTTGTCAAGACACAGCCAAGTGGGAAATTGGAGGCCTGTATTAATTACGAATGCTATGGTCAGTTCAAGCCATGTAATTCCAGAAGTCACAACTGGATCAGAGTAGTCCAGATCAGGATCTGGCCATCGGAGTGCGGCACAAAACTGAAGGACTAAGTCTGCATATTGGTTACCCCAAACACAGGCGGTAACAAAAGCAGGGTGAATATGGGGACGGAAAGACTGGACTGCATCAGGTATGGTGTAGACTGCTCTGGACCGATAGAGGGCACCCCAATCTAGTGATGAATCATGTGATAGATCAGTGTAAGTCTGAAGCTTTGATTGTTGCTTTTCCTGAGCGTGGCACAGATTAAGATCAGCGAGATAGGCGAGAATACACTGTGTCTGACGCAATTGGTCCCGGTGCCAGATTTCTGCTCGTCGAAATAGTGCGTCAATTTGAACATGATCAGTGTGGCGCGCTCGGACTGCAGCATGATCAGCCCACGAGTTGCCAATGACATCATCACGGGCGGGACCCGGAGGTAAGGTTTGTGGGTCCTGATGGGATCGAACTTTGCGTAATGAAAAACGCGAAGGATCCCAACAAGCGGCGAGAATCTGCAGAAGATCAGCGTTAGCAAGTCGATGCCACTGTAGTGAATGATTAGGCTGAGAAACTTGCCCAATGGCATTTATGCCATATTGTGAATCTGTGGTGATGGTGAGTCTGTGTGGCCAAGATTGTTGTTGCACGTGCTGCGTAATCCATGTGATGGCAGCAAGTTCGGCGCGGGCTATAGTCTGTGGTCCTTGCACATGTTGGATTTTAATTGTGATATATGGTGCATAAGATGTATCTGGACAGAACTGGATAAGTGACCAAGCCGCCCGACGGGTCTCAGGGTGGGTTGGCGTATCGGCGGAACCATCTGTGTAGAAGTATAGTGTATCATCATGGAGTCGAATGGGTGTATGGCCAGTGTCTGTGCCACGATATGCAAGGAGCTGTCGCAGAATAGTAATGTCTGGGAAAGCATGTGGAAGTGGAAACCATAGCTTCTGTGGATTACGTGTCAGGTAAGACACTGCCTGTGGGTGACGTTGTCGAATAGCATGGAATGTGGGACAGTCCAACTGTTGGTGAGCATGCGTGTCAGGTTGCCCACAGTGGGGACATCGTATGTCAACGGTAGAGGTCCATTGGGCCTTAACTGCGCCAACTTGGTATCCTCCGGTAAGATTGTAGGCAATTTGACGAATGGCCGTGGGAGACATGGATCGTAAAGCGCGAGATACAATGGTGTAATCAAAGGGATCGACAGGAACCCCTTTGCGATGGCATATTTGGCAGTTCACATAATATGCCCAAGAGCGTCTAAGCATGTATCGAATCGATCGAAGGGTATCGTGCCTCAAGGAGACAGATAAATACCCATCGAGTGTGAGGGAACCATCGGTTGCCAGGGACCATCCGACTAACTGTAAATATCTGGCCATGGCTCCTGCCGGACCAATGGGCGGTCCGTGGTGACGGACTATGGACTGAACGAATTCTTGCGCAAGATGCGGGTTGGTATGATAAAGCCGGCGTATAAAGGACAATCCTGTGGCAATAACATATAGTAGAGGATCCTGAAGTTGGGAACTAAAAAGGTGTACTGCGAGCCAGCTTGAGATCTGTTTTTCTGGTCCAATTAAGGCAATGGTTGCCTCACGTCGGAGTGTTCGAAAATGCTTCTCCCCGACAATTTGGGTTTCCGCTCCGAAGAAGGCGTGTGGCCAGATTGCAGTTTGGAGAAACTGGGCCTTTTGGGCGATGGTGGTCTGGAACCAACGCAGTCGACGACATCTTTGAACTGCACTATTGATCTTTGTTTTAAGGTGTCCTAGTGTAATATGACGTGTATAATGAGTCATACAGCCGAGATCTTTGGTCGAGTTAAGGATGAGAACCGGGTTGTCATCAGGAAATTCTTCGTCAAGGAGGGTTTTCCATTCCAATCGTGCCTCTTTTGTAGCACCCCATGCCCATGACTTAGCATAATCGATCTGCATACGAAGATCTTCAACAAGACGCTGAAGCTGGCGGAGTGCTTGAAGGTTGTCTCGCTGTGTGGTCGTAAGGTAAGACCAGTTATCAGCATATGCGTATGGAAAAACAGTAGGTGACTGAAGGGTCCAATAGAATGCTGATGAGACAACGAGCATGGCGCAGACAGACAGACTGTCTCCCTCAGGGACTCCTGTAGTCATGGTGATAGGTGGACCGACCTGTTGACGAATCTGGAGGCGACGAGTCATGCGGCTGAGGTTTGTAAACCAGAAACGAATGGCTTCGGGTGGTGCGCCATGATGGATAAGTAAATGGTACAAAACTCGACGGGGTAAAAGATTAAATGCTTTGATAAGGTCTAGGGTAAAACCTCGCCAAGGCAGTGACCGGTGCTTAGCTGATTCGATCTGATATTGCTGGATAAAAGTAATGTCTTGTACGCTCCTAAATGGGAGGCCACCCGAAATGGCACTTGGCCAGGTATATGCCCACTGATTTAACAATTGGTCGGCAATGAGTTTAGATGTGAGATGGCTAATGTAGCCCAGTATTGTGATGGGACGACCGTCGGAAATGGAAGTGGGTGGTACTCGTTTGGCCAGAAGGATCACGCGGGCTATTAGTTGGTGCGCCGAAGGGCCAGTGGGCCATATCGAGGCAAGAATATGTGCGAAATCTTGTATTGCTGCAGGAGGAAGCGTTTGCAGTTCCTCAGCTCTCCATCCATCAATGCCCACTGCCTTAAAAAGTTTCAGTCGTTGAATCGTCTGAGACAAAAGGTGAGGGTCATTCCACTGAACCGTGAGTGGAGCAGTAGGTGGGATACGATTACGAAGCGTTTGCAAAAGTTCCTGCCAAGAGTCGTCACTGTGTTCATCCATATATGTGTCTCGATTCCAAAATTGCGACCAGTATGTTTGGAAGGGTGTCGCCATTTCTGGTAATTCAAATGCATAAACGTCCTGAATGAGTTCATCATGTGTAGGGGCATGACCTTCTAAGACCTGACAGGTAACATGATGGTCCTGTTGATCTAGAACACGAAGCACTGCCGACCCAAAGCGGGCGGCGGCAAACAGACGCAGAGTGACTGGTTGATGGATGATGAGTCGAAGTGGTCCTTTTGACCCTCTGCACAGAGTGGCGGTTGTTCGGAGCTGGACGGGGAAACCTGGCAGGATTTTTACCTCTTGAGCTTTAAGCTTCTTGTAGTATTGAGAACTGGATTTATACTGTACATCAAGGTCAAGGCCATGTTTTTGAGACTGTCGCTGTAGTTTGGCTTCTTGTTGACTGTATAGGTCTGCATCGTATTGTGTAATCTGTCGAACTGAATACACAAAATCGTATGATGGGAGTTCTACTGGCACGGCGGAAACAATTTCGAACTGTAAGAGCCATCGGTCCCATGACCTACCGTAACCACGGGCCTTACGAATGGTGTGCCACAATAATGTCATGTCTCGAAGCTGAGGCGAAATCTCCCCGCAGGGTACACTAGAGGATGTCAAATCGTATTTTTGGTAAAGACGTTCCAAGCATTTTAAACGTCGGACTTGGCGAACCTTATGTCGGCTTTTTAGGGATGTGGCCTCTGTAGGTGGGTCATAATATCCCATGCTATCGCGCTTGGGCGATTTAGGGCATGAAGTGCGAATAAGGCGAGGTGTAGCGCAACGGCCTCGAAACAGCTTCGGCAGGAAACCCTGCGGATATTGTAGTGGATTGGCCTGTTTTTGCCATCGAAGTGTGCGATCAATAGCGCTTTCCACGTTGGAGGACCATTTATACAAGGCACGAGTTGGATCTACTTCTTGAGAGTCTGGAACAAAATGGTGATGTCGAGTATATTGCTTGCTAAACTCGCTTTGGTTGATCGGAAATATTGTCCATGACTTGGGGATATACCACGTGAAGGTGTCAATGCGTCTGGTGGGTACATTGAAGAGAACGCGGACAACACAACGATCAGCGAACTGATGCTCCGGACCGACGTCGATTCGTACGATATATTTCTGTAAGAATGGGTGGTATATCATGGAATCGTAACGTGTCGCACCTTTACAGGTAGGTGGGAGCTCGAAGCCGAAAACATTGCGGTGAAATTTAAACATCTCAATACAACCGCTTTGCTGAAAGAGGGAAAAGGCGTCGAGTTTTCGGACGTCAGTGTTAAAGTCGCCAGCCACAATAAATGGCAAGG